ATGATGATGATGATGATGATGATGATGATGATGATGATGATGATGATGATGATCATGATCATGATCATGATCATGATCATGATGTGCTGAAAGAAGAAGAAGAAAAAAGAAAAAGAAAACAACTAGCTCTCTGCTATGTATTTAGCTAATTATATTGTAAGTGACATTTCAATCATTTTTAAGATGCCTAACTTTTTAAGTTTTTGCAAATAAAAGTCAGAAACGATTCTCCAAAAGTATGATATTATAGTCAAGAGTGAAAAAAACCATAATGCATTGTACATTAATATACTCAATAGTGAGAATGTAACGACCGACACAATAACAAACAATAAGAAATAAGGTTGTTTCCAGATTTTCAGACACGTTCAACCCCTGAACTGCTCGGTTCGAGAGCTCAGTTGATGGTTTGGGGTACGGAATGGGAGAAGGGGGTGGGAAAGGAGGACATAGAGAGTAGTGGCGAAAGAGTGGAAGGGTGGGATAGGGTGGGCAAATGGAATGATGAGTTGTTGGTGGGTAGAGGGGTCGGGGAAAGGGTGGGTGGGTTGCGGTAAGGGTAGGTGGGTTTTTGGTGGGGGAGAGGGACCGGGGTAAGGGTGAGTGGGTTGTCGGTGGGTAGAGGGACCGAAGTAAGGGTGAGTGGGTTGTTGGTGGGGGAGAGGGATGAGTGGAGGTGGATGAACGGATATGCAATTCATGTCTATTCTAACAACATCCATGCTCCTCAATACACGCGCGAAGACAATTTTACGTTTCTCTGATATTGCACAAAATTGCCAAGTCTGGTCTTTTAAGGTCAATATAGAGTGACCGTATCTAGGGTGTCTCTCAAGATAGATCAAATATTAATGTGTCAGATAATGTAGAATTTATTTAGCTTTAAATTGGTTTGTCGCATAAGTGGATAGTGCAAAGCTTTAACACGATGATTAAGTGTTTACATTTTCAAGTTTCTTTTTGACGCCACTGCATACATATATTTCCAAAAGTGTTTTACAGCGCTCGCAACTGCATAAGGTCATATAAGCGCAGGGAACTCATTAAACATTTTTAGTTGGTAGGAAATTTTGAATTTTGCCCGGGTGGCGGCCAAAGCCCACTCTTATCAATTTAGAGCACCAAGGGATGTTTAACGGGTGCAACTTGCTCACGTGACCTCCGAGATTTTTCCCCTTGTCTGAGA